TTTTGAGACAGGACTTCCTCTACTTGACACACGTTTTACTGATACTCACACCAGAGCAGCAATTAAAAACAGGACAATCTTCATCTAACAACCCACCAAGATGGGTCAGGTTAATATCAGTAGAAAACACTTCATTCAAAACACTCAGATGCTAATGGATCTTAAGCTGTTGGTCATTAACAAAGCCATTACTTAATGAGCAGTAGCTTTGATTACCATTTACCAGCTGTTAAGCATTTAAATCACTCTCAGAGATCCTGATTTGTTTGTAATTCATTCAGAACAACTGTAATGAAAAGAAATATGTTTCTATCTGCAGTGCTATATGTTTAGCAGCATGGCTTTGATTTCTCACCTCCCCGACCTTCATCACGTATTTAAGGAATGCAAGACCCACAGCACAGGAGAGGCTGCGTATCAATGGCAAGGCGCAGGAAAACGAAGGTGTGTTGCAAAGCGGCTTTGCTGACATGGCGCTGTAGACTGGTTAACACACTGTAAAAAATGTCCAACTAGATATAGTAAGTTTTCAGCTGAGCCATCACCTAAACTCCATGGATTACATCTCATCCAACTATACTCACTTGCAAACTTTCCCATGTTAGAATTTAGCATCCATTGCTATCCATGCTTTGCTTTATACTTTGTGGAGGATGGAGGACATTAAAAGAAAAATATTGCACCTTAAATGATTAAAACTAAGGACTCTAATGCTGAGTCAGGATTATGTTCTGTTCCAGCAGGAGGAGAAACGGGGTGTGAATAGTACACACCTTGTTTCAGTAGTTTGTAGAAACAGCTTGACCAGCATTACTTGAATGCTTTATGACTTGTAGCCACTCTTCTTTACAGCGTTGTCAGAGGTCTGAGCCTCTGAACAGTCACCCTGACCCTGACTCTTTTTCAGAATTCTGTTGCATTGTATTTGCTGATGTGCTTGGTATGATTGTCCTGTTTCATGACCCAATTCCAGCTCTACTTTAGCTGTTGGACAGACAGTTTAACATTTGACTCTTTAGCATACACACAAATGCAGGGTAATCAGGTCCTGTGCCTGCTAAGCAAACCCAAATCATCACCTCTCTACTACCGTGTGTTGGTATGAGGTTGTGCTAATACGCCTTCACTAAATGCAATGTGGTGCATTACAGCCAAACATCTCCACTTTGGTCGTTTGTCCAAGAAAATTGTTCCAGAAGTCTTTTGGTTTGTTCAGTCGAAGCTTTGCAAAATAAACAAAAAAGGGTTCAATTTGTCATAGATGCCTTCTCCAGTTTAGCAATATTTTTGTTAAATGAAAAATTTTTTGTTATATTTTAAAACCTGCTATGGATAAAATTACTTTTTTAATTATGTCCTGATGTGCAAAACCCTTTAACTGAGCCTTGAATTTCCCTTAGTCACTGATCAGATGTATATTTGCCACATAAGTGTTAGAAAAGTGAAACCTTATGTCAATAATAAAAATTTTATATGTTAGGAGTATATTAAATACCTTAAATTTTAGTTTTAGCTCTGGACTATAGATACAACAATATATGTATCACCTGGTTTCAGGTCCCTTAACACAATATCAAGAGAAGAAAACCCAAGAAGCAACAGCAAAATATTACAAACTATCTTTATTCTACATTTTTATGTAATTTACTTCAATGTACAGTCTAAAGGATAATTTGTGGAAACACACAAAACACTGAAGAACATAAATTGATATGCATAAAAACAAAAGTTTACTAAAGGTTAGAAAATGAACAGTGGAGTTCTTGCACCTGTTAATACAGATGCATTCTGGGCATCAGAACACAAGATAAAAATCTTCTAAAGCACTGTAACCTATTCACCAGTCTTTAGTTAGTTCCAAGTCGTAGTGACAGGTTTATGAGATATTGTATAAAAATGAACAAAAAATGTTATATTTTTTAAAGAAAATCATATGAAAAGGAAATGGCGAGGTCTATTTACAGTTCTGTAAACAGAGACCATTGGAAAACACTAGCTTAGAAAAGTAAAAATCCCATGATGCTGATGACAAGTAACAAATTATGATACTTAACATGCTAGTCACATTTCCCTTCATTTTAAGATTTTTTTTTTTTTTTTTTTTTGCAGGCTTACAGTTTGTTTTTTCTCTCTATCCTCTCTGTGTAAACTACACCGACAGCAGCCTCACATAGAAGTCAAACTGATGCTACCATAACGGCCACAGCGGAGCGGATACTGTTGTTATTTTCACATGAAATGATGCAAAGACAGTCACCTCTTCCACGCTGGCAATGCAGCTGCATCATGTAGCATATCCAGTTATTCTATGTTCAAGAAACAAACATCAGAACATAAAATATAAATATTTCACTTGTAAAAAACAAACAAACAAAAAAACAAAGGCTAAACAGCTGTAATATGTTCATATATGTTCAACATGGTTTTATCCAACGCATTAAGCACATTCACCACTACTCACTCCACATCAAGCCAAACCAAAAATCATTCCAAAAACGAAACGGCATGTTCCTTCCCTTTTTGTGGCCTAAATCAAAAGGCCGATCCAACACACTGAAGACAGAAGAGGTCGAGACTTACTTTAAAAAGGTGAGGCAGCTTAACGTTGCTTTTAGTGGATGGTAGGAAAAGGGGGAGAAAAAAGTTGCTGTTTGAAAAAAATAATATGAGGCAGCACTCTACCTTGTGTATGAACACTGATGCCACTGACATCTGCATTAAAGATCCTGAAAACTTTTCCATCACCTTTTCTTGATGATCAGCAGAGTCCAGTATGAACAAAATCTGAACAGTTTTAATAATTTAATGGAAGATTTTTTTCTTTCAAAATTCTTTTTAAAAACGAGAAATTGAACTAGCAGGGACGTCATTAACTTTTTAAACCAATCAGTATAGACTGACATGCATTCCAGTGGCAGTTGGCGGGTAGTTTGGTCATTAGGTAAGTTTGCGTGTGCATTTTAAATGAATCTGATTGGTGCCATTGGAGAGGGGCTCAAACTTCAAGCAGAAGTGTCACGTTTTGTTTTTATCATAACCCCTACTAAACCACCTCAACCAAAGTTTTCAAAATTAAATAAAATAAAACTTTTGATATTGATTCAAAAATTGTTTTTCCATTTAGGATTTAAAAAACAAAACAAAACACCTAAGCAGAAAAGTCCACATAACACAAGTTGTTTCAATTATTTAAGCTATGAAGTCACACAGTGACTGCATAAATGCAACCTGTCTCCAAAACATTTGTGGTCCAACGTGGACTGAAGGTATTCAAATAACTAGAGTCAACATGTTGCAATCAATCTGAGCGCATCTCTTTCCAAGACGCGACTCAGCTGGGTACCAGCTGGTTGTATTCTGGTTAAATTCCCATAAAACAGGCAAGGTTGCAGAGTGCTTATGTCATTTTGCAGTTCAATCGCTATCCAGCAGCAACTATGCCACCATTTGTGGAAGAATTTCTGAATTTCTATGAGGCTCTGACTGGACTCTGAATGCAAGTAGTTAATATGAATTTCTCCGTATGTAAACAGAAAACAAATTTGCAACAGATTTGTGATTTTGCAAATTCATCACCATAACGTCAAAGACAGACTGGCCCCATTTTGCTGTTGCAAACTGATAACAGGTTGACTCATTTTGCTATTTTATCGCCATCTTAACACAAAACACACTTTGAAGAGGGCAACTGACTGTGACTGGTCGCAGACATAATTTCCATAATTGAAGAAATCATTTCAAAGGCAACAATTTGGAAGTTAATTGCACACGGTCACAATCATTTTGGTCGTGCCACATCATATTATGCAGTTTTTCCTAGTCCGACTGTAGCGTAATAGAAGTCGTATAAGACGAAGTGTGTAAGGTGTTTTAGAATAAGTTTTCAGGAGCTTTAAGTTTAACAAGCTTGTATTTTGTTGCAACGATCAGAGCAAATGCAAAATCAAGCATTTAATGTTGGAGCACTTCACTCATTTCTGACCTGTGAACACGATCTACAACACATAGTAGTGTTAAGAAGCCCGCTAGCAAAATACTGTAAACACAGTTCATATTTCATCCTATGAATGGCATGATAATACTGGACCTGTGGATAAAAATCAGCTAAAACTCATTAGACCTTTTCAATTCAGTTTTTTGTCGAAAACACTACTTTCATTACATGCCGAATCCACTTTCATGCTCTTTCCTTTTTTTACACACTTCGCAAAATAACAAACTTGAAGACCTTGTACTGTACACCCCCCTTACCAAAAAAGAAAAATCTGATAAATGAAAAACTTACGTTATACTTCCAAAACAATCAAGCTGACAAATACTGCATAACAGCCCGCTCATGGTGTTGAACGATTAGCTCATCTCATTTACCTTACAGGTATTTATAGAAACAGTACTGTGTTTCGGGGTAGTCATAGAGACTAAGGATAAAATATAGATACTCTGTCCTCTTTGTTGCTTGGTAACAAAGCATCAATTCAATAGCCTCACTTGTGTACGCCTAACCAAACTCCAAACAAGTCAAAGAAGATATTCATCTGGGTATCGAGTGGTGCGAGCTTGTGCTTCAGTTTTGTCCAACGTCTTCTTTGCTTACCGTCACTCAGGATGCTAAAGTCTGAATGAGTCTACCGTGACAGAAACACACACAGAAATACTCTTACATACAAGTTACAGCTCTATAAGGACAAGCAAATAAAACAAAATGGATAAAAAAAAAAAATTGAATGTTGTTCCCATGTTGCATATAAAAATGTTTAATGTCTGCACTGATTTTTCGGCACTTACGCCGTGACTGCAATGTGCATATTCTGTCAGTTTGTGTTACACTTCAAACTACAGTAGAAAGTCCAAACCTGGTGGATTAAACCGTAAACATGACCAAAACTAAGTGATCCACCAGCAGGACTTAAAACTCAGCTTATAAAAAGATAAAGAAACGTGGTGTGTGATGTCTGTTTGAGTGTGTGTGCTCTGTCTGTCTGCTGGGAGAATTATACAGAAATCAAATGAATTTACAAATCAAGAAGTTTGTGTTTGTTTTCTTTTTTAACTAAGCTCATACAGGTTTTGTTTAGAGGACCGAGCATGCAGTCTTCTGACAGTCATATGATCTCTCTTGCTACTGGTCCTTTACACTTATCCTCAGAAATTTGAAGAATGTGTACGTGTGTGAGCGTGTGTGATCACACATATGCACACTGGAGATGTTTTCCCCTCTCTGCCTCGCTTTGAAAGCAATCACTACTTGACTCTACTAGGAAAGATAAGAAGGCAGGAACGGGAACATGGCTCCCCTCTAAAGGTCCTATTATATTACTCTTCTTCTTCTTCCTCCTCCTCATCATCATCCTCATCGTGACAGTGAGTGATCTCCTGGGGAGTCTGAGGGAACAGGTTGGGTGGCTTGATCTCGCTGAATGAGCGGGTCAGCTGGTTGCGCTTGCACTCTAGCTCTTTGCAGTCGCTGCAGTGGGTGCGGTTGCGGGTAGCCAGCGGGGACTCTGTGTCGATGTCCACGTGGGTGTGTTCAACTGTTGACTCATGGGGCATCTGGAAGAGGAGAAATAAGAAAAATTGCTAAGCGATAGAATATGACTGGTCATATGCTCTTGACTAATTCACCAAGCTGTATACAGCATTTTTTACACAACAAGAACACAGTTAACCTTTGAAATGTTTTACGAACAATGACAGATCAGAACAGACAATTTTAGTATGTGCATCAGTGAAGTGTGGCAATGTGTCTGCATCTTAAGGGTGCGTGGTTTCATTCAATTCCCCCACTTTACATTCAGATACTCACTAGTATGTGTGACGCTCTGAAGAGGTAGCTGAAGGGGTAATACAGCAGGTTAATGAAGGAAGCTGCATACAGGTCGGCGTAACGCATCACTTGTGAGGCAAAGAGAGTCTGTCTGGAGCCGCTGCGGAACAGGCTACCCATCATGCCATAGCACATGTCCATGTCATGTGTCACTTTCTACAAAACAAGAAGAAAAAGAGAAACTGGTAAGCCTTCAAAATCACGTCAAAAAAAGAGGGACGCTGATTCATTAACCCTGGAAAGTACGGTTAATAAATTATTTGGGATGTCGTATTTGTTCAGTGAAACAGCTGAATCTGCATCTTTTTCCGACAGCCTATGAGAGACAAACACCGACTGAAAGGGCTCTTTGATGAGGCGGTTTAATGATTAGTCTCTATGAAACAAACAGCAGTAAAACCACGTAAGCAGCACATCTGTTGTCATAGCAGCAGAGGTCATTAAGGGTGTACCTTGATTCTCCTCTGGATAGTGCTGATATCTGGCCTTTCATTACTGCTGCTATCCAGATGCCTGAGAAGGAAGCAGGAGAAAAACGATGAGGACTGCGTGGGGGTGTGGATACTGATATCAGCCTCCTGAAAGATGATGAGTCAAAGAGGTGGCGTAACAGAGAATTGCGCCAGGCTATAAATAACGTCAGTGAACCTGCTTATCAGGTGCACACTTTGACACTTTAGACTTTACCCTATTGGCCCTGTGGGTTTCTGTTAAATATGCAGTATCCACACATGTATGCAAACAGACACTGTTACAGCCGAGAGCAAAGAGCAGCAGAATGGGAACCTGGGGGTAGGGGGGTGGGTGGGGGGGAATGAGGCTAAAGGTCACAGTTCTTACTTGTAGAGTTCTGCCAAGAAAACATCCAGGCCCTGGAGTTCCTCGAATAATGCTGGAAAACAGAAGGAGAGCGTGAATATCTCTCTCTTCAGCACATTTGAGTGCATGTACAGTTGCTGTACAAATATTTGAAGTTTTGAGAATGTATCCTTTGAGAGTGAGATCATTTACAGGTTTTTGTTTTGCACTTATAGATGTAGTTTTTGCACAACATTTTACATTTCAGATTGCTATTAAAGATCAAGTCCTTTCTGAGACTGAGAAAACATGCAGCCAAACTAGCCCTCCCACATGTCTGCACACTATGTGTTATTATGAGTCAAGTTCTTTCTAGACTCACAGCTCTTGTCGGTCCACACGTGAAGCTCCTGGGCCAGCTCAGGTATAACCAGGAATGTTCTCCAGCCTTGACGTTTCTTGGATTTGAGGATATCTCCAAAAATATGGTCCCCGATGTATACTATGTCCTTTCCCTTGGCCCCCAGCAAGTCACACACAATGTCTGAAGAGCCTGAATGACAGTAGCGTGTTACCAACTATGTATGCATTCTTAAGGTCCACGAATGACAGATGAATAAAGCCTAGCTCAAAGAATGAATGATGAAACAAATAAAGCCTTACCTCCAGAGTAGACTATCCCATGTTGCAGTGGTCCTGTGTAGGTTCCTATCTTTAGACGTCCTGTTGTCTGAAATGAAGAAAATAAATAAGTCACTAAAAAGTGGGTCTGAATAACCTAAGTGAAGTGAGTGACTGTTTTTGAATCATTCTGCAATTGCTCCATCTTCCTGAGAACAATCGTTTAATTACTTATGCACTGATGGCATATTTTTAGGGCCTTTACCTCTGCGTTTTTCTGGCATAAATTCATGCTTAAATTTACATAATGTTATGCTTTTTAAATCATTGTGATCATTGCCTTCCCATTAATATATATGTACCAAAATAATTGACATACAGACTTTGTCTAATCGACCCTAGAATGGATCCCAGGTTGAGCCAGTGACTAAATCAAAAATGCAAACTACGCTCGAACGACTATCTAACAAAAAATTCACTCATGCACTCTACACTGTTTTCAGTAAGCTGGCCCTCAGTTTGAAACAACTGGTGTGTTTTTGGAAAACAAAACGAAGAAATCCTGAGAAGCCCTGACTGAACAGCAAATAAGGGACAGACTGTAAGCCACAACATAACACATGCCAGCTAGGGTTCACTTATAATGTCTTCTCTGGCCAGAACTCTCTGTTCTGATTTTGCTTACTGTGTCCACTTGTCTGAGCACTGTACCCTCTGCGAAGAACAGCGGTTTCCTGGCATCCACCAGGATCAGATCAAAGTAGGACTGCCAGGGCCGGTGCGGGGTGCCAGGCTGGGGTGGATGGAAACACACAAACATGAGTACAAAGATAAAACCATGATGTACATTTATGTTTGACAATAATAAAAAAAAAAAATCGTCACCAAATGGAAATAGAAAAAATATGTTTTACCTTTGGGCCATGAGGGAAGTCGAACAAATAGGTCATGATTTTCTGTAACACAACACAACGTCTCTAAGTCTGATGTGACACATACTTTGTTCATAAGCTAATACACGTGTTACCGACAAACTGGTAGAAAGCTAATAAAAGGATCTCGGCATTAACTTACTGGCATCTAAGTCTTTCACTGTTATTGCATTACTGTTTTCCCTAATCAGTAAGTTTCCACCATAACTACACACACACACACACACTTACATCAGTGTATTTGTAGTCACTGTTGGTTGCCAAGAAAACCTTGGATACTTCATTCATTCGGCTGAGAAGAAGAGGCAGCTTTCCCTGGTGGGAACAGAGGAGAAGAAAAGAAAGAGAAAGAATGAAGCTCTAAGCATCTTTACAAACCAGCCTCTTCACAGACTACAAGAGTGTGAGACACTGTGTGTGTTTTCTCTGCAGCAGTGCACTCACAGTGAATACAAACTACTTACATCTTTCACTACATACTTCTCCAAGTTCTCCACAGTCTTCTCCTTCAGCGTACCCTGCAATGTGAGACAAAGGGGTTAGCAAAATCATCAATAACTATAGATATCAGTGAAAAATGCTGGATTTCCAGAAACGCTGATAAAAATTCTTAAAATGACAGGTAAACCTAACTCCTTTATTTAAAATTGCATTAACATTGGTATAATTTTTCAATCCATTATCATTATGCAATAATGCAACATTTCAAAAGTTTAATCATTAGCTTTAAGACATCACTGAAACGTGCTTACACATCTTGAACTCACTTCCTTTTCAGAGGATGCTCAGAGTGATGTTCAATTTTAGCACACGAAATTAAAACAGCTTTCTAGTGTCAAACTCTAAAGAAAAGATCACTATACACAATAAAGATCAGACATTCTAGTGAAGTAACATTTTAAAGTACAGCTGTATGGTTAATAGCAGTTTGGAAGCAGTAATTGGTGACGACTGCTGCAGAACCTTTGGGACCTTGTGTTGTTTAGTTGTGGCATAATCAGTGGTAGTGTTTCAAGAGTATCTCTAATTCTTCTGTAAACAACTTCTCCGTTTGCAAAGGTTTAAAAATTGGTTTACAGTCTAGGACAAATATGCATGTTTTAACTGCAGTTTATTTTGGAAACAGGTTTTAGTCCTTTTTAACTGAATATAAGAAGACATAGTTGACAGAATTTTAACTGTGAGTTTGTGTTAGTATGTTAGTGCAGGCATATATTTTCTGTGTACAGAAAATATATGCCTGCATATGAACGATATGATGAATGGCATTATTATTAAGACAGTCTCAAAATTTCCTGTATATGTCGTCTTCACAAATACATATCAGATAAAAACTGGGAGACATTATCCTGATGTTCTTAAGTAAATATTACAAACTTAACTGGATTCTGTCAAGAGACTCGATTCAGACATCGTATGAGGAAAATTTTACTTGGCTTGTTGGTGGCTGCCTTCTGTTATCACATTATGTTATATTTGGCCAGAATAAATAAGGAAGGTAAGACTTCCACCAAGACAGAGGAAGGGGTATCACAGAGATGTCAAAAGTATGAGAGGTTGTGATGATATAACATGCCAGTATGTTTATTTCAATTCAATTATTCTTTGCAAATAATAACTTGTCCTCAAGATATAATTTATGCACTCTATTTCATCACATGAACTAGTTTTAGTTCCAACAAATCAGATTAAATCTTAGTGGTTGCATGTGTTTTACCTTGAAATGGACCCAGTCAACAGCATCCCGGACATCCTGGAACATGCTTTTAAAGGACATGAAGAGGTCGCCATCTTTGAAGCCAGTTTCACAGCTGGGGGAGGGGAGCAAAGACACACACGTACACAGCCGTCGGACAGGCCATAGTTTTATAGAAGGTTTTCAAAAACATGACATTTGTTTTTTGTTTGCTTTTAAATGGGATAGCCTTCCCTTGTTGGAGGGGTCCCCAGCCAAACAGGAAAACATTCTCCCCCTAAAAGACCAACAACCAGGTTTCAGAGGACAAAGGACATGCAACCATTCCAGATTACATTCTCAAAAAAAAAATTACAGGCCATTAAATCTCCTTACTTTAACAGTCAGAGGATTATCTTGTTGTTATATCAGGATTTCATTCTCTGCAAATAGTTAGTAATTGTTTTTATTCCTATCTGAATTTGATAAGAATCCATACTTTTTCACAATTGGTAGAACAGATTAATAGATATAGTAATTGTAATCGAAACGAAGGGTTATTTGACTGAACTCCCATTGGATTAACAATAGAATTAGACGAGATTAGCAGCTGAGACACCTGAACCCTCCCATGCGTTAGGGCTTGCTCTTGACCCTTTGTGGCTTGCAACTGTCATGGTCTCATCATGCGGCGCCCAGAAACTTGTTGCAGGCCAGATAAAGCAGAGAAAGGTTTTCTTACCTGTCATATCTATCACAGTTGGTGAAGAAATCCACAAGGCAAGCAAAAAGGTAGGTCTCTGTGAAGGAAACAGGAAGATTGGAAGATAATGTCAAGAACCTCAGTGAAATTATTTGCCGCCCCAGCCTTCCAGATTTAGATTCTGTTGTACACATTCATCCCATTCTTCTGTATGGGAAAGTTCTTCCCACCACCACCGCAATACGCCAATTTTTATCATCGGACTTAAACACTGGTCTTATTGTTAAGCCCGCCAGAGACTTGACTTTATTTAGCAGCTAAGGAAATAGAGAGTCAGTCTGTAAGGTATGATCCATTTTATCCAGCTTCACATTAAGCCGCCAGAATCACCAGCAAGGCCAGAAGCATCATCCATGACCAATCCTCCCTTAACATGACCTTTTCCATTCTTTTCCCATTGGGCAAAACCATTACTAGCTGAACATATTTAGGGATAATACTTAACTCCAAGCTATTAGGCTCTTGAAGATGCATTGAAGCTCTTATTAATTCACTTTACCTACATCAGCTTGTGCTCATATAATCGAAATGCATTGGGCAATAAAATGTGTATGTATGTATCATGCATTTGCAATATTAACTGTACTACTTGCACTATGGAGTGTTCCCTTCTGCAATCTGGACTATATCCTGTTGCACTAAAAATCACTTTAAAGGTAGATACACTGAGCTACTATGGGCTGATCTGTTACATGCACTTGTATTTTGTATCACGTTGTGCGGTGCTGTGTGTTGTGGGATGTGTCTTGTTTTATATGTGAGCACACCATAACAATTCCTATCAGTTGTTTTGTTGAAATGGCTACAATAAGCTTGAACTTGAACCCACCTGGCAGATTGAAGAGGGTGTTGAGGATATAGAAACGCTCTGTATCATCTCTCTGGATAAACTTGTTGGGGTACCGTTCACGGATCTCTGGGCTGGAAAAAGCAAAAAAAGCACAAAAGAGAATAAAATGTTTTATCAAATGTTCATATTTATGCTTGTATGCAGAGATCTGTGCATTTTGAGGGGGAATGTTGAAAATACCTACCCTCGCAGGAAGTTGAATCCATGGACACAGACCAGGATATTACCGTAAGCATCAACCTTCAACAAGTTTCCATACATGGTATCAAACACAAGGCCTCTGAAAAAAGGAGCAGAGGGATGCATGATTTTGCAATGCACGAGTAAAACAGCCTTTCTAACTTTCTAACAATCTTGGCACTTAAACTCCTGTCACTTGTTATCTTTTACTACAAAATAAATACAGTGACACTGAACTTTGCACAGGTGATGGGGTTTTTCATACTATTACTTGGCTAAGATAGATAGCTCAGCTAAAAGGTTATCTGGACTACAAAGTTTAGAGATTAGGCAACAGAAACAGCAGTTGGTCAATAATCTGATGGCCACGATCAGCCTCATGATGTCTGTGCAGAGAGATGGGATTGGTCTCACCTGGTGGGAAATGATGGGTCATAGACGAAGCTCAGGAGCTCCTGAGGATAACCGATGGACACTAGCCGTTCCACTGTCAGCTCAAAGCCTAATGATTCATATTCAGGTGACTTATACACTACAAAGGAAACACATACACATTAGTTTAGTAAATAATGCCAGCTGCCCATAAAAGTGTCCTGTAGACACTTTAAAAACTGTGAAATGTTACATGAAAGTAGTTAATATTTTATAAATACATACATATAGAATCAAACAAATGATTGGTTATCAATATAACAGATTTTAAATCAGATGTTTAAAAACTTTTTCCCCTGTTTATTTGAATTTGTATTTATTACCTTTTGTAGGATAACTACTTTAATATTGACGGTGATGCTGTACTGAAATGGTATCGATCTGAAAACCTGACTCAAAATTATACAAACAATGTTGTATTTAAAAACCCCAGAAGCATAGCCTGTGGGGTGATTCGATGGCAAACAATGGTTAATGAGGTGATATGCATTTTGTTGCACTTACTCAAGTTACACAACAAATAAGTTTGAGTTTTCAAAGGCCACCTTATCCATTTGAGATCATCTTGTCTGTATTTTGTCAACAACATGTTTTCACTCTACTGGAACATCCCCTCACACCCAATGCCCTTCTCAGTCCTGGCTACCAACACAGACCAGGATGTTCTGCATGTAAATCCACAAAGAAAGAGGATCAGGCGGGCAAATGAAAAATCACTTGATGTAAAGCAGTGGCTTTAATGAGCCCAACTGACGAGCCCCTAACCCGTCACTGCCAGCGGTAGATATTTACCCCAGGCTAAACGAAAAGCGAGACAGGAGTGGGCTCTGGAAATTAAAACATACAGTGATGCAAGGCTAAAAAAAGACTGGCAGAGGATTAAAATGCTTTCTGACAGGGGGAAAGAATATGTCAGATGTTATAAATATAAAACAGAGAATGCACTGGTGTTAATGCTTGCTTTCTATACCCCCAGTGGGGTGGTGGAAGGCCCCTCAAGGGTATGAAATATTGGCTGATGATACTTAGAGAAGAGTTAGTTGGAGGGAACAGCACTGTAGGTCAAGCAGGAAAACATCTGTGTCCTACTCTGGAAAACGTGTGTGTATACACAAGTCCTGGGTTATACAGAGAGATGATAAGTACACAGAGAAGTACAGGAAAAGCCTGGGTTCACTAAAGCTCTGTTCTTTTGTTGACACCTTTACTCTGTAAGCATGAATTCAATCCAATTTCATTTAAACAGCGCCAAATCACAACAATAGTCGCCTCAAGGCGCTTTATATTGTAAAGTAAAGACCCTACAATAATGCAAAGAAAACAAAGAAAACCCCAACAATCATATGATGTAACTGCATGAGGCAGTTTCTGCATTTTAATCACGTAACCTCTTGTAGTTCACCCCCTGCTGTGTTCTCCCAGTAAACAGGGTTTGGGCCCTCTGCCCAGAGCAGCAGCAGCATACACCAATATAACTGCATTCCCCCCTCCTCTTTGCTTACTTGTAATATTCCTCATGAGTTGCTACAAAGAAGCCTATTTTAAAACCTGTTTCCCCTATGTCACCCTCTTCACTTGAGGTCACTGGGAGTCTCTCTTTACATGTTGTCTTTTGGAAATTAGTACATCCCACACATAAAACAGAATAAATCAAATCTCATTACGAGTTTGTCAGGCTGGAAAACTGAATCAGGAAAATGGTTTGATATATAATAATTATTCTAGACAATTTTAAAAACCTATGGGACAGCTAAAACTCCCTACTACACAAAGTTAATATTAGGTCAAAAGCCACTAAAGTTCCCCCAGTAATTGGCTTAAAATGTCATTTTGTCCATAATGTTACTGTTTAATGAAAGTGCACCAGCCAGCGTTAAGTTTGGAATGAACCATGGTTAGGTATTTTATGTTAAAAGCCCTTTACATCAAATCTTCGAACTGTGAACTGTTGATAGACTATCGTAGAACTGTATTTCATGAAAGCCACACCCAAGACTACATAATGCAACATAAAGCTGCATGTTTTAGTAAATGAGACAGCTGAGATGCTCATGTTTACTGCATTTTTTGTAAACAGGAAGTTGGGTTATTGTTGTTTGCTGTGTCCTTGACTCTCTCCCCCTGTGGTGGGAACTTCAGAGATCTGTTTCCCTTTTTATCCCCAATGGGACTGATGCCAGATAATTATACTCCCACTGCTGAGCAGCAACGTATGTCTCCAGAGTTTATAGGCCAGGCCACCACAGGCCTAGATGTAACGTAGACCTCTTGCATACAAGATAAACAACCAGCAGAAAGCCCTTCTGCTGATAGACCCTTATCTCCAAATCAGATATAGTGTGTCGTACAAGGAGACTCTATCTGACCCATTTCACACAGCAATAATTTAACTTGTGTCTTAATATTTGCACAGAATAAAGTGGAAATGTAGGCCTCTGTGACAAATTTGCAACACTATGAAGCATATTGTGGGAAAAGTTAGAAAGCTTAAACATTGCCTCAGGGGCACACATTCCAGCCAAAAGTCTGTGAGAAAACTAGGACAAACCTGCTTGTATCTCTCACTGCAATCTGGGCCTAAAACTGTGTTTGAGCAACTTTCTGCAGGGTGTTACGTGTTCCCTTTAGGAGCAGAAGAACAGATGACGCAATGTTGTCTCAACCAATGCTAATTCAGTTTACAAAGTCTTACGAAATGTATGATATTTGCAATTTGTTTGCACTAAAGCTTTAGAATAGAACAAACTTTTCACCTCTTCTTATCCTCGTGTTGAGCAAAATGGCACAAAATGTCTCATTCTGGAAGTCACTGTACGTCATTACACTGATGCATGACGACAATACATTATGAGATTGTCTATAACAATCTAAAATACTTATGCTGATATTAAAAACAAGCCCTGAAATCACATTTTCTTTGACCGTCTTTATTCCAAGAGCTATAGACAGTCATATGAACACAAATACTTTAATTTTTGGTTAATTAGTTCGTTTACATTGCATTTCTTTTATAGTCTGTGCTCTTCTCAAACGTTTGAAAGGGATAACAGGAGCACAGCTAGTAACAGGCGATGGTGAAGTCTCCAAGAACCAATCGTAATTTCTCAATATCTGAATTAAAATGGAATTCCCCTGTTGCTGGCATAGTGAAATTTGATTACACAGCAAGCTTTATGAATGGATTAGATTGTTGCTTCTTTCTTGAATACATTTAAATGTATCAAAAATGCTTTGACATCTGAAACCAAGGTCACAAGAACTTTAAAGGCACCTTAATAGTTTTTTTCCTTCGCATTCCTAGCAATATTTCCTTTCCAAACTTTACCTTTTTTATTCGATAGATAAGATGTGATTTTTCTGAGCTTTTTAAGGTATTTTAGTATGTCACCGTAAGCACAAGGATTAATCCAGAAAAACAGAGACAATTATCTTCATGAATCAGGACATGGAGTGCATTTCCTGCTTCAATCACAATCGCATACCAAAGTAAAGAAAAAGTTAACTTATTAAAACATTTTATAATATGACCGTTATCTTCAGCTTAAATTCACTATGCAGAACTGCAATATATGCTGAATACACACAATAGTAGTCTTTGCACGGTGTGATATATGCTAAACTGATTACAGTTGACAGGGACTGTGTTTAAAATTCACCCAAAGCCTCACACAATCTCCGAAGATAAGCAAAATCATTACATTAGGTTTTGCATACGTTCAATTAACTTAAGGGTTTTCCCCAAAACCCACTATTTTTTCAAAATGCTTAATGACTGCGAAAAGAATTACTGAAAAACTGCTCTTGGTTTCTCTGAGTTTTAGACTTTCTTGCTCTGTTTGGAAACACTCGACACACCATAGACATGCCACAATGAAGGCAGTGAACTCAATAAAATACACAACTCTTTAATCATGTTGACAACTGCTCCCATCCACTCCCAATATGTTACACTCAGCCACCGCGCTTGTTATGCAAAGAGTACATATTTGAGAACTGCTAGCTTAAAATAGCAAAATATCTTCAAATCTTACAGATTCTTGCAAACTTATCTACAAACTGAGACAGGAGCCCCTCATCTCTGTGGGAGCAGCACTGTAGGCAACATCATCAGAAGTGGACAGTGGAGATTGAAATAGCAACTAATGTTTAGTTTTGTCATACTTTCTAAACTATAATCTGTGTTTTCATTTGTTCATGTGTACCAAAATTTCCTGACAGATATTATTGAGTTTTTACATAGTGATTTAAAAAAATAAATTATGTTTCTGCTTTAAATCTCTATTTTTATAATCCCAATCTTTCTTCCTTACCTTTTTCCATAAACATTGCACGCAAAAAGCAAGTAATATTTGAAATGTACATATTTAAGGCGTGCTGCACATCTGAACCGCCTTCTATCACATAGCGTTGCATGTGATTAAGCAACAGTCAATCTGAGGAAGCAGTTCTGTGATCAAAATGTGAACACTCTCCAAAGATACACGATAGCCACCCTTCAAGCAAACATTAACACTTGGTTATGAGCTTCCATAAAGAGAGTCATGTCAACAGCTGAGCATCTGTAAAATCTCTTATACCCCGAATGGTGATAGGGGTCCAGAGTCAAAGAAGAACTACAAGTGACTCTTGTTCTCAGGGGAGCCGTCATTGCTGAACTCAACAAACAAACGTGACCTGTTTTTCAAAGTCAGGGAAGATTTATTTTTAGATGTGTAGAGACCGAAAACTGGAGCTGAGTCACAGAACAAAGTGGCATGAAAAATCAGGATATTTTTAGCCAGGTTGCTAGCCACTAGGAAAAAGAACATACACAATTAAGTCTGTGTTACAGAGAGCTACTGCTGGCTTAACATTTCGTTATCCTAGTGTTATGGCATACTCAGTGTATCACTATCATTGACCTAAATAATACTTTATGAACAACAAGCTGTGGTTCAGGGGCAATGGTAGGGTACCCAAATATAGAGCTGAAAAGACAGGGATACTATAGACTTCAACATCTACACCAAACATGAGGTCACAGCACATTTAACAGCTAGGGAGTTTTTTTCAGCTTCTAAAGGCACATAAATAAATGCGCTCTCAAAATCTAAATTTAACGTGACAACCACAAAGTTGGTTTCCCTTTCAGTCAATGCCACTCCAAGACACTTTTATAGATTCATTACATAACGTTTATCAAGATAGGAATGGTCATTTTGACAAGACTGTATTGTTGATGACAGCACAGACGAGCCATGTAAACTGAGAATGTGCTATACAACACTCCAGCCAACTTGGCCTGCATACCAAAACCCTAAAAAGTGCTGATTAATTAGATCAATAAATTGATCAATTGTTTATTAAATCTAAAACACTTTTGGACCGTATATAATAAACGTCTCTTAAAAACTGGCAAATTTAGAATTAAAAAGAAGTAAAAATAAAAAAAAGATCAAAATCATAAAAATAATTATAATCTGACTGTGACTTTGTCATTGGGTCTCTTCTTTTCAGCTGTTATGTTGTAGAGTTAATGGTATGCTTGGGATCATTGTCCTCTTGCATGACCCAGTTTCGACCATGCTTTAGCTGTCTAACAGATAGCATCATCTTTGACTCAGGTATACAGAGTAGTTCATGGTCAGCTCAGTGACTGCATGGTAACCAGGTCCTACAGTTGCAAAAAACAAACAAACAAAACCCCCCCAAATTATCACCTCTTCACTACTGTTCTTGACAGTTGGTATAAAGTGTTTGTGCTGATATGCTGTACTTGGTATTCAAACTGTGCATTATAGTCAAAGAGCTCCACTTTGGTGTCATCTGTTCAAATGTCATTGTTCTAGAAGTCTTGTGTTGATTTTCTGTTTGTTTGGGGGTTTTTTTTTTTTAATTTGGTTTTAAAATTTTCTTTCCATTGTCAGAACTTGGGGTAAATTTGTGGGGTCCTCTCCTGGGAAAACTGTGACATTGTGATAACACATCTCAATTGTTCAATCCAGAAAACTGCCAAAACGTCTGCTTTTACAGAGGTGGTCCCACTTGCTGATGATCAATTAATCAACTGTATCCGATTAGCACCTGGACGCTATTTACAGTCTTAAGTCCAGGAACCATTTAGGGTATAATTTGTTATAATAGGACTGCATAGTACTGTGAAATCTCTTTTTCAAATGATAAATAGGCATTTTTTTCCCTCCGATCACTCACTTCATTAGTTAACTGATTATCCAAACTCTGATCTGATTATGACTGATTGTAATTGATTGTGTGATTGTGTATTTAGCTTACCTGCTAAAGTGTAATCCATATCAAAGCCAAAGCACTTAATCTTCTCCATTGCCAAGCTTCTGTTGACAAAGATTCTGGGGGGAAAAGGTTTTTGTAAATTTTATGTAATCATCCGCAACAAATTATGACTCATAGCAGTTGCCCCAAGTGAGAAAAAGAAGAATGTTATCCCACATATACATATCCAACAACTATCATTTTTTCTTCCAAGTACAACTTTTAAATTTTATCAAAAGGTACATCTATAGATTTACATTTTATCAAGTCAGGTAATTTAGACTCAGTGCATTTCACTGTGCATGCATAGACTGAGGTGTTAAAATAACTGTGAAAATCAAATCTAGAAAAATACATAAAGCAAATGTAAAAAACACAAAAATAAGAGTGTAACTCTTAAAAAAATAAGAGTGTAACTCTTATTTTTGCATTCTTTTGTACAGTTATGATTACAAACCTCGGTGTCACCTCTATGAGCTTGCAGTTTGAGTTTGTTTGCCAAAAAAAAAAAAAAAAAAGACTACACTAAATAAACAATGATATAGGTGATTTATAGATTTGACTGATAGTTATAGCCCTATTTTTTCAGATTTTTTGTACAGTCTCATTACTTCAAATTATTCTATCCACATAAATCATAAAATGAAAATATGATAAGTTCTAACATGGACAAATCTTGTTTACTGTTGGGTGTCCTTGAGTGTCTAATCTAAAGGTCAGAAAAAAAAGATGAAGTTACTACCACTACTACTACTACTCCAAATTTGGCAATTACCACACAGTGTAAAAGAATAAATTATGTTATTGTGTTAGGTACAGAGCCTTAAGAAGCCAAAAGGCAGCTTATGACAAGTACTTAAGAAGAGCTTACCAAGTCATTTCAGCCTTATTAAACACCAACATATAACACATAATTAACTACATTTTAGGTGCTGTAATGAAAATGAGAACTAAATATCCATTTCAGATCACTTCATCTTTGTATGTACTGGAAATACCATGCGAGGATGATGGTTCTTTGATACTTTCATTATTACAAGTTGTTTGTTTCTCTAGAGCGTATTTTATGAGATCTACTTGCTGGCGTGTTCCTTAACGATAATAGTAAATTAATACACATAATTAGTTCTGATAATATCTTAAAATACTTTAATATAAAGTGGCCACGATGAAAACCAGCGCTTCGTAGACACAGAAAATACAGCCACACACTGTCTGCGTAACTCTGACTGCTAGCACAGACCTACATAACTTATCTTCTACAGCTGTGACATAGTTGAAATTCTATACAAGTCAATATTTAATCATACAAGAACCGAAATATGTATCAGACCAACAGAAAAATCAAGAATGACACTAAATTAAAAACAAGGGTGAACTGATACACAAGTCTAAAACTGCAAGGCATCTAATCTTCTCATTTTTCTGTGACAATGGTCTATTTATCTTCACCAACGTCTAAATCAGTTGTGAAATACCTGGCAGCAGCTCCATAGTGAACAAGTTCCCATTTAGAGCAAAGTCCACGACACGACTGGCAATGCATTCTGTGTGAAATTAAACCTCGGTTTGACTCTCCGGTGGTCTGACACTGCTCCAGCAACGCAGGGCAACACTGGACCCACAAACAAAACCCCCCTCCCTCTCTCTCTTTGCTGTCTTGCCATTCAGAAATTTTCTGACTTGTTGCAAAAATGATTGTGGCCATTCTGCGTCATTCTCTGTTGTTGTGTGCTGTCAGTCAGGGTTGTTGTGAACCATGATGTTTGTGGGCCCTCAAAGACATCTAGAACAATCACAAGTCAGGTAGAATCAAGCACGCCAGTGCCACAAGCTACAGCTGCTTCCCATTACTCACATCTGGTTGAATATACACATTTGTCGTTGGCCTACAACTACTGGTTATTTTTTAAATTCATTTTTGTGGCCGTGAAAACTGCCAGTTGTGATTTTCAACAGAAAATTACCTCTTCAAATATCCTTAGACTTCTTTATTCAAATAAAAATTTAATTAAATATGTTTATGCTGTAACTGTTAACAAAGTTAATAGTACTTTTTACTTTCTTTCTTTTTTTAAATGTAAATCCTTTCTTACAAATAAATACATTTTGTAGATGAAATTAAGCGCTACTGAATCTCAAACTGATCACCTGTAAAAAAAATAAAAATAAAAAAAAAGATTTGCAAATTCAGGTTAACGACCTTTTAAACTTGAAAAACGTGTACTCAAATATCAAAATGCTATATCAAATTTGATCATCTATATTTATTTTATATATTTAGTTGCTTATAAAAAAATGAGCCTATTCTGGCCTTATTTTGACATTTAACATTTAACACTGGCTCATCAAAATAGGATGTGCTCCTCATCAGCCAAAACAAATACAGTCAACATTTCGCAGGGATGAACAAAGGATTCAATGTTTAAATCTTTTCTATTTCTGTTTTGCTGGTGCCATTATGATGTAACCTCTTGCCAGATGCCTGTGGGAGGGGTAGTAAAGAACGGCCATAAATGATAAAGCGTGCCCCTCCTAAGATCAATTACTGTAGTCAGCCTTGACTTTGGCCCTGCTGACATCAGTATTGCTTCAAATAGCACCTACAAGTGAATCCCTTAATAACTTTTACTCCATCTGAGCGCAGCTGAAGAACAATCAGCCAGATTTTTTCCACTGCGCTCTAATCTCATGCAGACAGTGACTCGAACGTTTATCTGCACTGGGCAGAGCCATCAGCCCCCTGCAATGTGATATACACAGGGTGCACTGTTTCGGCTGAGCTCTTACTTTGTTGGAAAGGCCTTTCTGAGTCTGTAAGATAAACAAAAGGTCACGCTTAAATCAGTAATGAGTTCACTGACCAAGAACTTCTGTCACATTGTTTCAAAGAGCACCTTTGAACTTTCACTTAGCACTGCATGTGTAACCCTTTGCTGGTTCATGAACTGGTTGATTTATTCCCCAGCAGCACATGCAGAACAAACAAATGAGTGATGGTTTCATAAACCTTGTGAGCACTGCATATTATATAATAGCATGGAAGAAAAGCAGTACCCATTGTAAACATGCCTTAGAGTTAAACATTGAAAAGAAACACTCATTTTATTGCTCTGACAGGGAATAAACCCCTGATTATGTCAGTATAACTGAACGGACTTTACTACAAGCAGGTAAAGGAACAAGGATGTTTATAAGTGAAAAGATATATTAATGGTCAATAAAGCTACTTACTATAAAGTCAAAGCCATAAAATCCCTGCAAAACCAACTACATGTTTAATATGCTGAGCATATCTGGATCTCGAGTCGTCCATTTAGCCCGTGGGTCTTGTCATTCTGCTGATGTTTCATGAGTGAAAAGGTTTGCATAACAGCTACAAAGACCACACCCCAGTCACAATCAATTCTATGAAACATCTAAGGCAGCACAGCCTGCTTCACAGTCGAAGTGACAAAGACACGTAGCCTAGTACATGCTGAGCACCAATGGCAGACTACAAGTAAAATAAGACGGGAATTAAACTGGAAAACACAGCACGCTAACAGGATAATCACAGATATAATCACAGATTAGTCAGTCACTCTGTTATAATGACAATAAGTGATACACAATGTAAAATCTAAGAAACGCACTTTAGTATATTTTTAAAATGTATGACATGCTTTGCCATGATGAAATAAATAGTAACAAGCTACTGTCATAAACTGTTGGGGAATCCAAAGACCACCCAACACAACTCAACTGGTTAAGTCATGATTTGAGTTATCCTTGTTATAGTTACTTAACTATACATAACTACATAACTATATGTTACTGTTGGTGTAAAAAATAAATTAATCAATCAATCAATTCTTAACAGAAATACAAAAAACCCCAAATACATTTTTAAAAAAACCTTAACGAAACAATGTTTCTTACTAAAGAGAAAAACATCATTACAAAGTAAAGACACAGAGGCAATACCTTTAGTTTTAGTTTCAAATTCCTAAACACATTAAGTATGAGGCAGCAGTGTGAACTGAGTCTGGCACATGTACATAGATGTGAGTCAAATCCTAATAACTGATCTGAACTTTATAAATTTGTCCTTTAAAAGCAGACCTACATTATAATAACCAAAGACTAGAACTAACACTGAAACTGAGAAAAATAAAACAAAACAAAACTAAACATTTCCAAGCAATAAAAGCTAAGCTGAAACAAACAAACACACTCGTGAAACAAAGGAAATTAACTCAATTTCTTTGACTACTCGCTGATGACAAATTGGAAATAAAAAGGAAACAAAAAACACAAACATAAGCTGTCCGAAATTAATAATGGTAGTTTCTTTAGTGTCCTGATGTCTGTATCACAGAGCGGCCCTGGATTCCTTTGTGGTTCTGTATATAACTATGCAATTCATTCTGTAAACCCCTCTGTGGTGGGTGGCCATCCAATCCATCGTTTTAACAAACAGAAACTGCATATTATTAGTTTTCATATTACAGAATGGACGTCCACAATATTTTATTATTACCTGCAGATTTAACCTCTGAATGAAAGCTGAATTATGAGCACTATTAATCCTTATATTACAAGCAGTATTTTCTTTATGTTGCGCTGACAGCCCCAAATTACAAATGCTCAAATCTTCCTGAAAACTATCATTCATTTACTTTCATTTCTATTCATAAATCAAAATCATCAGTCCAGGAGTTTTATTTGTTTTTTCCACAGTAGTCTCTGTCTGGCTGCTTAATCTATGCTGTGAAATGTCAGTGTGTCCCTTGTGGATGTTTCATACCTGTGGTAGGGCTCCCTCCTGTACTTCTTCATTGTAAGGCCGTCCATGTTGGCGGGCAAGTCTGCATAGTTCTGCAGTCTGTCACTCCATGAAGTGGTCATCTTTTTAACTGTTCAGTCTCTGGAGAGAAAAGAAGAAAGAGACACAGAAGGCCTAAATGTAAGTTGCTGAATATCGGTGTTGATCAGACAACAAAAGAGGGAAAAATCCCCATTAGAAGCAGCAAAGTCTGTGGTGAATAGAAATATAATTCAATCACACCTTGTCCTTTAGACTTTAGAAATGGGATTATGTGGATGAGCTAATCAAGTTCCAACCTGTAGAAATTGAGTGGTTTAAAACTTGGAAGGAGCCAAACCAATATCCTGATAATTTGGTTATCATCGCCTAATTATGGTGTTTCCTGTGTAATTATCAAACTAGGATTAGATTACACAGTGGAGGGTGAGGACCTACTGTATGTAAAAGTTCAAGACAGATTAAAATGAGAGATAAAACAAAGACATGTGATACAATTTAACATGGGGATCATGGTAGTCAGAATATGAATGGGTCCTTATTTGGTTATAACATCAGATCGCAAGCAAAAAAGCTGAGACCTAAAAAAAGAGACATATGGGAAGTCTTGTGGATTTATGCTCCAGTGGAATGCAAGCCTAGTTTCTGGTTTTGTCTTTTAGCTTAAAAGGCCAGTGTTGTGTGTTTTTTTTCCTCTTATGCTGACATGCTGTCATTCCTATACTGTTGCTGGAGAGGCTGCAGGAAGGAAGGGTAGAGATCAGCTTTCTTCTTCTTAGTGCCAGCACAAAAGCAAATGAGAATCACATGCTGAGGCAAAGAACTGTCAACAGGGCCACAGACATAAAAAACAAACAAAAACCACTGCAATCAGTGTGCAGCTTCACAGAACACAAAACAAAAACTTCAGCTGATTTCATCTGAAACATTATTTTAACTGTTCGTATTTAAAAACAAGTATGGACACAACTGGTAGACAAATCACTTTTTTGTTATTTTACAGCTTGTTTGCTTTCTTAGCTCTATCTTAATTGCCCATGTTGTGAAATGGGTCCTATGGGGTCAGAAGGAAGCTCTGGCTTGCAAAAATCCACAGCTAAGCATTACGAAAACCTGCTCAACTCAACAGTACTGCAGACAGCAGCTGAAAAGCAAACATAACTTAGAGCAGGCTTTGTTTCCTCTGCTCAGTCTTGGAGAGAGAGCGTGGATCAACGAGTACTGCAACTGTACAGCGGGTGAAGCTAACTGTCACTTGTTTTTGGCGAAGAAATCACGCCAGCTCTTTCTTGAACTCCGCAGTCAGAGAAAACAACGGTGAATACTCATAGATTATCTGAACCTAATGTAAAAGTATCTCGACAAGCTAGAACATCTCGTTCGCGGGGTTACCGAACAACATCCCGTTATTTACCACCGGACTACGGGGCTAGCTAACACTCCGCTCAAACCGCCTCCGTCCAGCTCTTCTTTATCTGACATTGATGCGAAGGGCAGCCAGAGGTGGTCCAGGCACAGCTAACGCGTTAGCTGGCTTTGACACAAAAACACGAAGACTTGAAACTGTGGGAGCAGATTTCACTTTGTTCAGCTGCGGTTGGCGTTACTGTACTCACCTCTGAGTTCCTGAATAAAACAAATGCGCCGTCGGTTACTCTGAGCATGCGCCTTGAGCTGCGTGCAAGTCGCAGGAAAAAGTGTATATTCTGACAGAAAGCTGTGGGCGAAGCGGTGACGAGTACTCTGCAAAGCCAGGTATGTAATAGCTGTCCGTGCCCTGCCTGCTCCCTGCTGTCTCGCTCTCTGCTGCCAGCTGCTGTTATGAGACATTCAGAGGGCGGCGTTAAGTTCTGTCTATCACAGAGGGGCGGGACCATCAAGCGCCGTGGCACAAACACGTGACCCCACTTGAATTAGGCTTCACTTTATAACAAATTAATTAATTAATTTAGAAAAAATAATATAACATAACGATTCAATAATAATAATAATAATAATAATAATAATAATAATAATAATAATAATAATATTTGATTTTAGCAATATGCTAAGCAAGTCTAATATGCATATGCAACTTCTATACTGGGTGTGTCAAACGAACTATAAGATGTGTGTGTAGGTTCTCAATCATTCAGGTCGTGGTACTCACTCTCTTTCCAAGCTCTTTTGAAACTATAAGATGTTAACCTTTCCTAAATGTTGATTTTACAAATTTTCTGGCCTTTTGGAGGTGTCGTTTTGTTTTTGACACACAGGAAAATTCATATTCCATTGGATAGTTACAATAACCAGGGACTGAACTGTTAGGGCCTCCAGGACGGGGGCTGAAGCCACAAGCTGGTGTACTACTAGTGCTGGTCCCAAGCTGATATAAATGGGGAAGGTTGTGTCAGGAAGGGCGTTGGGTCCAAAATCTTTACCTAACAAAATATGTGGATCATCAAGACTGAGAGCGGAAGAATGCTTGTTCAAAGGCAGTGAGGGAGAAGCCAGGAGTGTGGAGGTGAGAGTAGGGACTTTTTTTAGACTGTAGAGATTACTGGTAATAGCTAATAAGACCACAGAGAAGCCTAATATATGTGATGATGAGTGTTGGTGTGACAGAGGTAGATGATCTGCTGTAGTGTCTCATAAAGGCAACAGCCAAAATAAGAAAAATATCTAGGACCTCTGCCTAGAGGCCCTACATTAGGTGATGTTTTCTTCATAGGGGTATTGTGAGTTCTTCGTCATCTGGCCCCTCAGCAAGGACCAATTTACCTGAGACCCCACACAGGCAAATACCCTGACAACATAACTTACTAGGGCACACAAATCCTTCCATCATGATAAGATGGCAATATAGTGGAAAGACCCAGCTTAGGTGATTCATGCACATGACTAACATGTGTCCTAAGCATGTACTAAGTGAGGTGTTCCAGGCATGTCCTAACAGAAGGGTGTTCCCAGGTAAACCCAGGATATGCTGGTGAGAATATATTTGTCAGGTAGGTTGAGAACACCTTTGTGTCCCTCAGATGAGCTGTATGTGGTGGTGGTGGCCATGCAGAAGGAGGTCTGGGCTTCTCTGCTTAGACTACTGTCTTGTCAATCTAGGCATGGTTAAGCAGCAGAAAATGGATGGGGATGGATGGAAAAACAGGGGTCTAAAATGAAGGATGTTAACACAGTTCAAACCCTGTCCCTAACCCTAGGTGACACTCAAGTGACCTGATGAGTGTTAAGAGGTTAAAAGTAGTAAAACAGAATACAGAAAGTAAATTTAATCTGAAAGTCAAATCTTACAGGATAAAACTTGTTTTAGGAACAACACAAGCACTAATTACATCTTGATTGGGATATGACAGTTTTGCACAGTCATAACAGATATAATTTTTTTTCATTTGTGATATCTCGTATTAAAATTATGATTGGTAATGACTAAAATGTAGATATGTGAAATCACAAATGGATATCACAAATATCTGAAATGTCACTGTTCAGAGTTCACTGTTCTGCCTGTAGACTCACCCTATAGCATAATAAAGATTAGAAGTAGGCTAATCATTTGCTCCCAGTACAATCAGATTATTAAATGGTCACGCAGGAAACTTTTCATGGTTTTGATCATCTTTCCATTATTTTGATGCATATTTTTAATGTATGCATTTTATATTTCTTTTCCATCCCGTCTTATGTTTTGTTTGTTGACTTGTTCTTGGATATTTATCCATCTAACTGTCATACTGCAGTCAGATTTGCCAATCTTTTTCCTCTTGGAATGTCACTGCAGAAGTACCTGCAATACATATATACTCTTGCTATTAAATGTCATAATAATTTAATGTGGTGTCCTAAGTGAGCAAATCCAGGATGTTTTGATTTAGAGTCCATGGCTATAATTAGTAAAGTTAAATGTCTGCAGTGTAATGCTCTGTGTAATGTTCAAAACTAAGATACCATCAACAGTGAGCCAGTGTCCCTTCCCAGTTAACTGGACCTTTACTGTGAACAGTTTCTAATAATATTAAAAAAGAGAAGCTGTCTAATCTGTTAAGCCTTAATTACTGCTCACAACAATATGTGTTTATATGTATTATCAAAGTTACAGCTATGCATTATCTCAGACCTTAGCAATAACTTTGCTAATACATATAAACACGTAAATGGTGGAAAGTCCCAGGTATCTCACTAGGGCTTAAATACTTGGGACTCTCCACCATTTGGTCTTAGAACTGAAGAAGCTTCTTGGATTTGAGGTGAAACATCTTCAAGAAACATAAAGAAGTCCAGTCGCTTTTCTTTCCAAACACCTTAGATTAATAGATCAGAGAAGTGCATATAAATATATATATTTCTAAAGCTCAAAATGGAGACATGTCCCTACCTAAATAGTAGTTTCCTCCCACTGTTGAGGCCCCACACATGAGCACATCGCTAATATTGATATCCCGAAACCTAACCCTTGCATGACTACCCCCATCTCTCTTCATGCTTCTTTGTACCAAATATGAAAATAGTACTTGCTCAATAGCCAGTTGGAGTACCATTAATCTAGTGAGATTTATTCTCAATCTGATGAGGATTACTTGCTCTTCCCTTGTTCTAAATGTAAATTTCTACTTTTTATTTCACTGTTCTTTCTTGCCATTACCCCATACTGTGCAACTTAAGACTAAGGACAGATGCATTACTAGACACACCTTAAAGTCAAGTCATTCAACTAAAAACACTAAACAAAAGAATTCTTAATAGCAAACTGGAATTCAAAGTTCAAACAACAAAACCTTAGGTCCATGATGAGAGTATAATACCAAAATGAACACATTTAACTAGGCCCTATTTATAAATCATTCTCATAATGATCTTGCTCTGCCACAAATCACGATAATAACACCACTGTGAATGTGCCGCACTAAAAATTTTAAACACACTAGAATAAAAACACTGTGGCAGTTAATACGGTTCGGTAGTCCAGTTTGCTTGCAATGTAACGCTATTTGACAGCAGAGGGCAGCAAAGGCCTGTCAGTCGGATCCTGTTTGACCAGGCTTTATATATACGCACTTTACCAAACAGAACAAATAACAATCAACCAGTCCGAGTAACCCTAGATATTATTTAAAACAGTTTTCTTGGAAATCTAACTCTAATTATATTTCGTGCAGCCTGCTACATTTTATGCATAACATATTTATTTTCAAATACAAATTTCTCATTGTGTTATACGCATGTTTAACACAAGAAAAACGCAGGGCTCGCTCTTGATCTGCGTTAAAATAATGAGTCATATTATTTAAATAGATGCTATTTGGAAACTGCAAGCAGATGTGTTGTATGACGTCAGTACTGTGGTTTGGGGAAGAGTGTTTTACGGATGTTACCTGGCTGCACTGCAAATAAGTAAGTTTGCAAGTAAACTGCACCGTCATCGTCATTCTGCGTTAATTAAAAACAGCATAGAATTTGTAGACTGGAGCGGATTAGATGAAATTCCGTTTTCAGAGATTTTTCTCAGCAACAAAAACGCTGAAGATGGGCTGCAGGAAACTGTTGCTAAAGGATGTCTTATACGGAACATTTATTACATGTTGTTAGCTGTTTGTTTTAAATAAGCAACAAGCGATCAGACGCGGATACATCACCACTGCGCCAAAAAGGACAGTTCCATTTGCTGAAAGAAAAAAAAAAATAGAGTCAACCGTGCACATCTGGAGTGATGTCATATTTATAATATACCTATCAACGAAAAATCTAGTTTACAGGAGTGATTTCTGTTCATTCGCATATGCACAGTGGACTGCCTGACGCATCTGGAACAAACTAAGTCCGGATGTTACCGTTGGGCATTAATTAGTGATTGGGTCGACACCCCTATATAAAGGAGACGCGCCCACTGCTCTGCTCTGTCTACACACAAGCGAAGATGAGCTACGGATCTGAAGTCTTTTCCTCCTCCTCCTACCGGAGGATTTTCGGGGATTCTCCCCGTTATGCATCCTCTCCATCGCGCACGGTGACGAACGTGGCCTCTCGCGGAGGGTACCGGTCCTCCTCCCTATCCCGAAGCAACGTTTCGTCCCTGGGCTCTTTCAGCAGAAAGTCTGGCCGCTCCTTCTCTCTTATGCCAGTGGAGTCCTTCGACCTGACACAGAGTAGCGTCCTCAACAATGAGTTTAAAATCATCCGCACTAATGAAAAGGAACAAATGCAAGGTCTTAATGACCGCTTTGCAATGTTCATCGAGAAAGTGCGCAACTTGGAGCAGCACAACAAAGTGCTGGAAACAGAGTTGACTGCTCTGCGACAGCGTCATACCGAGCCGTCCAGGCTGGCAGAGCTCTATCAGCAAGAGATCCGCGAACTGCGCTCCCAGCTCGACGAACTGAACGGGGAGAAGTCCCAGCTGGTGATCGAGAGGGATAATATTGAGGACGACCTGCAGAAGCTCAGGGGGAAATATGAAGAGGAGTTCCGCGCCCGAGAGGAGGCGGAGGCCACCCTCAAGGCTTTCAAAAAAGATGTGGATGATGCTACCATGGTGCGCCTGGACTTAGAGAAGAAAGTGGAATCCCTCCTGGACGAGATCAACTTCCTCAGGAAGGTGCATGAGGAGGAGGTGGCCGAACTGACGGATATGATCCAGGCTGCACAGGTGTCTGTTGAAATGGAGGTGTCCAAGCCGGATCTCACCTCCGCCCTCAAAGAGATTCGCAGCCAGTACGAGTCCATGGCTTCAAAGAACCTGCAGTCCGCCGAGGAGTGGTACAAGAGCAAGTTTGCAGATCTTTCCGAGCAGGCTAACCGTAGTAACGAGGCCATCCGCGCCGGCAGGGAGGAAGTGAACGAG